TACTATTGCATTTTATAAAATCGGTTAAATTAAAACCTCGATTTCTCCATTATAAACGATTTTTTGAGGGTTGATTGATACTACTCGAAGGTATATTTTTTTTTAAATTCAGCAATCTCTATGAAATTTTGTCACAGCATGTGAATTTTTGAAATTCCTTAAATATCTTCCAATGCTTAAATTTTATAGGGTTGTGCTAATAAAACGGCTTTTGATCGAACTGAAAGGGTACAATAGATAAGTCATTCTTTAGATTATGTAACGTACATTTTACAACTCTAGGCATGAATCAGAATGGATACAAAAATTTAAAATATCGTACATAAAATAAGACGATAAGTAATCACAGAAATGTAATTTTTTTAAAATTTCAATCGAACTGTTTAGATCTTTGAACTATTTGATGATATGAAATAGTGAAATAGTTCTTTTTTATTTCTTTCTAAAAAAATCAAAAACAAAAAGAAGTTTATATAAAACGAATTTTCTTTATCAGTCGGTAATATTTCATTGTGCTTCGCAAAACGTCCAATCTTTTAGGGCAATTTATTCGTATTTATGCAAATTTTAATCTGAAAGTTGCTAAACTATTTCTGACTTATTTACTATAATAATATACAGATAATAATTTGCTGGCTCTTTTTTTTTATTTATCAAAATTAATATCAATACCACAGACGCTCAGTAACCCCTTTGCGCCCGGTAGGATTTCATTGATTTCACCCCTTTACCGTCAGACAATGCTAAATTGATTGCCGATTGAAAAGAAGAAAAAACAGATGTTTTTTTTGTGTGTGTGTGAAAATAGTTTTAAATTGTGTTCGACACACGGTTTTTCACTTTGTAGGAACTTTTGACTTTTTGTGTAAACGCACAAAGTGAATCCAAGTGCCTATAATAGCCAATCGATTGGACATTGTAACTTCGGATGACACTGAAAAAAAAGGTGCAAGTTACACCTCCGAATGTACGATCTCCAATTTCAGTGGTGTCAAAATTACTTTTATAAAAAAGCGTTTTACGCTTTTAAGTGTCATAGGCATGGTGCAATTATATCAAGTAGTACGTAACTCTGTAGTAAAAATGACAGTCGATTGCTAAAACAATAATTTTTTATTAATCACAGAATGGTATACAATTAAAGAATAAAAAAAAACATTAAAATAAATCCATACCCAAAACAAAAAAATTGAATAACAATACTTTTGACTTTTTTTATGTTTTCTTACGTTCTCTATGATCCATTAAATGTTCCAAACATCCAAAACAAATTAATATTAATAATTCATCAATTTGGGAGGCATGTGACTTGTGAGCCTTACAAATTTTACATATTTTTCTAATGAATGTCTCCGTGTGGAGTTTTTCTGATGTATGGACATATCAACAAGAATCGATCAATCAGAAGAAATTTATAAAAGTTCATTTTATTAATCGTTAACTCACGCGAGAAAGAACAAAACCCGATGATGAAGTTTGGTTAAAGATCAAACACTTTAAACATTTTAAACAATATGGATAGAAACCCGATAGGAACTGACGCCAAATTGCCTTTATTGAAATTTGTTAATATTAAACCGTAACTATTTTCCTTTGGGTGTCCGTTTTGGATTTTGCTCGGATTCACCACCCCGTGTCCAATATGTCGTTCAATTTACAGATGTAGCGGCACAGGGTACCGCAGATCTTTTGGGCGTTCGGAGGGGAAGCCGGACTTGTATTCCGTATTGGGAAGGTCGGCAGTTCGTGCGGCTCAGGCCCCGTAGATAATGACATTTCGTACAAAAGGAGGAGTTGCACAATCCGTGACACTGACACGATAATAGTCTTCCATGTGGACAATGGTGACATCCCTTTCTAGGTGGGAACATGGGAGGGCCACACCCCATAACCACCTGCCCCCGACGACGCGCCCTTCACGACCCCCACCACCCCCGAACGACAAATAAAAATATTTTGTTTTATTATAATTTTCGGATAAAGAGAAACGCAATGGCTCAACTTTTTGTTCTCTTAGTCTACTACATTAATAGACAAATTTTTATTTTACCCCCTAAAAACTCATTAAAATATCTGAAGCTCCTTTAAGTTCTTTCTTCGGATCAAGCGCTTAAAACGATGGTTGTTTTTATTTTTCGTGTCTTGTGTAAATACTTTAAAGCTTTAATAGCTGAAACGAACTTAACGAGTTTTAATCTTCAGTCAGATAGCATATATTTCAACTATTTTGATTCTTGTGTATCCTGTGTAAACGGGTTTAGTCTGAATTTCTGAGTTTTTTTCCATCTTTTTCTATTGTGATAACAATTTTATATTTCCGTGTATCTGGTTTTTGAGATCCTTAACCGCTTTTGAGCTATGGTGTTAAAATATTTTTTATTTTTTTGCATCAGCTCATAGGCCAGAGCCACCGTCTTTTATTTTATTACTTCCATTTGTTTTATTATATTATTTACATTCTCACTACAGCTCTATCAAAGGAGCCGACAATAGCGGAGTAAATGCACCTTGACTCCGATTTTATTGTTTCCTTATAGCTTGCTACTGTATTTTTTGGTAGGTGGCTCACCACCTCATTTAACATTTCTTCTCGAGCTCGATCATACTTTTGACATTCCAATATGGTATGTTCCAGTGTTTCCACTGCTCCACATGCACATAACTAGTCCATGTTTTTTTAAGTGTTTTTTTACATATGCCATGATTTGATCGAAGTCTGGAAATGATTTTACTGATCTTTTTATTTGCGTATTGAACTGAAAACTAGGGAACCAACACACCTTAGGAAATAAGTTCTTGTAAAATAGTACTTTGTTGCTGTTATTACAATCTTGCATCCAAAGTTCAAATATTTTGATTTGATTTTAAGACAGAATAGTTTACATCCTAAAATCCTGGTACATCATTTTAAAGGATTTTTTATGCTGAAAACAATGGTACAATCGGATTTAACAAAACATTCATTTGGTTTGCTATTTATTAATCGCATTTCGTGTTAAAAGATTTGCTCTTTTTCTCCACCAGTACTCAGAGCGATATACGGGGAGATGGATTGATAAGCATTTTCTATCCTTTGCTGCAGTTCTTCAACTAAGGTTGCTGGGTTATGATTGGCGTGAACACTATTTTTTAAATGGCCCCGCATAAAATAGCCAAGCAGAGTTAAGTGAGGTCCTGGATCCACCTATCCAGAAATTGACGATTCAAAACGTGTCCCTGCAAAGAATTGTGTGCGTGGCATCATCAAGCTGGAGAATCATTCTTTGTTGTTACTGCAGAGGAACATAATCTAATAGGGTTGGTAAAACCTCCCATAAAAAAATTGAAGAACTAAGCACCATTTAAATTATTTTGGTAGAAATGAAGCCCAATTACTTGATTTTCAAGAAGGCCATACCAAACATTGATACTGTTAACCAACTGATGATGACAAGAGTACAAAATTCTCAGATTTAACTCTGCCCACGTTCGAAAATTGCAACGGTTTAGTATGCCAAGGTGAACATGGGATTCAACAGTCCATAGGATGTATGGAAGAACGTTTTCTTCAGTATCCCAAATCGACATTTGTGCAAGGAACGTTAAACGCCTGTCATAATCAGTCCCGAAGCCTTAGTATGTCGAATTGCAAGCAACACGAATAAACGTTTGATGGTTTTCTCTGGGGAGATCAGGAAATTGCTGGGAACATAACTTGGCTGCATGACGCGATCAACAAAGCAGTCATACATAACAACTCGCTATTGATCATAAAAATGTGCTCTTTGGTTCATTTTAAATAGTATACTGAATGCAATTAATAGGTCCTATTGTAAAATCTATTTACTACCTGGGATTAAGATTTGCTCTCTTAATGCGAGTTTGACAAACAATTACAGAAAGTAAACAATAAAGGCAATTAATGTTCAATTTAGTGAAGAAGCAAATCATTGGATTTAACAATGAAACAAATGAAATGCATTTTTTCAAACTTTTTGCCATAACTTTGTCATTTTTTGATCAATTTAAAATTCGATTGCACCATTGTTTTCAGCGTAAAAAATCCTTTAATATGATATGTCAGGATGTGTAGGGTTGTATTTGAAATTTTAAAGTTGAACTGGGCCTGAGGTACCCTGTACAGTTTTTCTCCACAAAAAGGTAAAAATTTGAAACTAGACTAAAAATATAAAATACTAAAATATTAAATGCATAAACTTGTACCACTTTGACTAAAGTACCCAAAAAGTTATTTTGAATATTTCATTTCTTTATTAATCTAATTAAATGAAGAAAAAAGCTAAATTTAATACTAGTAATAATATACCTAAAATGACTGAAACTACAAGTCAAACAAATAAATTAGAAAAAATTGACACATTGTCTAAGAAATTTAAAATTATATAAATTTAAAAAAATAGACGGTAAAAAGTTTGTAGTTGTATAAACTCATAAATGAAAAATTTTCATAATACATTTCTATTAGTGATTGTAGTACACTCTTCTGGTATCATCTGAAAACTGAAGTTCTGAAATTGGAGCATCCTAATTTTCCCTGCATCCTTCTGAAAATATTAATTTCTAATGTATAGTTTAATCATGTTTTGTTATCCATGTTTGTGACACAGCACGAAAATTGAGCTCGTTTGCTGCTTTAATGTATTAATGTATAATAAATGCATTATCAGGCTGCCAATTTAAAACATCCTTCGGGGGATCCTAAGCTTCCTTATATCCCCTTAATAGTATATATCACCATCATACCAAGAATTTGTATATCTATTGACTAAAATCAATATAATGATATAACTAATAATTTTTAATATTATAAAGTGGTTTAAGGTTTTTTTCATGCATTTCTTGCTGATTTATTTAAAAGCTTTTATAAAAAAACTTTATACTGATGCCAAAAATTTGAAACAGGATATAAAAGATTTGCTGCCAATTTGAGACATCATCAGATTGAATATAGTACTGAATTGTCAAATGGATTTTAATTTATTTTTAGAAAGAAATAAACATTAAAAAACTAGACGGTACATTTTATTGCATGCCAAAAAATTAAATATACATGTACTCAATGATTATAAGACTTAGATGTTCAGATGGTAACATAAATTTTAACTGAGTGTAGCTTACAAAGAAATTTGAATTATTAATTTTAAACATTACAATTTGATAAAAAAAATCACATTAACTAAACGTTCAGAAAATATCCACCTTTCAAATTTCGCTGCAAGGGAAGAAGAAATGCATTCAGTTTTTAATGATGAACTTATTACAGATTTTAAAACTGAGAAAACAACAGTCCTTAAAATTTGATCATTACACAGCTGATAAGGAAAGATTATTCAAAATAAGTAAAACGAATAAACTTTCTTATTTACATAGATTTACTACAGAAGTAAAATATGTCTTTACAATAATATAAAGATTATATGGAACAATCACAATTGAGATTATTTAATTAAAACCTTTTTTAACGGTAACAGCACAAAGTAATATCTCATTACACAATATTGTCACAATAATTTTAATTTTGTTTTCTAAACACAAAAGACTAGAGTGTGAACAACCATAATTGTAAATAGTTAAATATAATCAATAAACCAAAAGTGAGCATAGTATTAATGAAATCATAAACCTATTGTTAAACAGATTTTTCATTATGCTCATCTAATTCAAATTCCCTCAACCCAAGTACTTCTTGAATGTAAGATTAAAAATTATGATTTAAATTGTAGTTGAAAAGGCGAATTGGTACAAATATTAAACAGACTTTTAATAAATACATGTTATTTACATCCCACATGTACCATTGCTGATATCATAAAATAAAAATACACAAATAGTTTAACTTACTTTATCTGAAATCATAAAAATTAAGAAGAAAAAAACTGTGGTGGGTTTCCTGCTTAAAAGTTCAAACAATAACCAAGGCACTGTTTTAAATAATTGTATAAATGTAAAAAATAATACAACATTCATCTTTAGCCTTTGCAAGCTGTTATAGGTAAAGCAATTTTTTTTTTCTCTCATTAGTAATTTTCTTGTAGTATATAAGCATTTTATTAGTTTACCTTTTTTTGGCAAGTTTCTAATCATAATTGTCATGTTTATTATTGTTCTAAATAAAGTAATGTATATTTTTATTAAGTAACATTTGACATCAGGACAAAAGTTTAGCACTTAGTTTTTATTTGTTTCAACTACATATGAATATAATAAGTTGACAATATTAGGCCTATATTGATAGAACGCTTTTTTTATATTTTTTTTTATATATATATAAAATTAAATTCTTAAAATCACGATGTAATTTCACCTCTGCCCGGTCTTCAACTCTTGTTTTCCAATATGCGAACTGAATATGGGCTCATCATATCTGTGCAGCTGAAAAATAAAATATAATCAATATTGATTTTACAAATTTACATTTTTATTCGTGGTCAAATGAGACAGGTTTATTACATTTATCTGGCAAAATTTGTTGACTTTTGATATTTTATAATTCCCCTTAATTTTTTTCTGAACTGGACCATACTGAAATACTGCAAAAACTAAAAAGTGATGGAGTTTTCAACTTAGCAATTAAGACAGGGGATTTTGAAAATACGAACTTTAAAACAAGGTCAACAATAAATAAAACTTTTTATTTAAGGTCTTCGTTATTAATTGAAATAATTAATATGGGCAATTATGACTGCTAATCATATATGGATTAATAACTAAAACAATAAAATTTTATAAGTTATAAGCTCATAACAAATGTTTTTACCAAATTTCAGCCTCGTCACAGACAACTCAGAAAAATCTCACAATATTAATATAATGTAATTTATTTCATTAAACAGTTAACCCAATACAAAACATCAACAACACACTCCATACAATTATAACCATATTTACAAACCATTAAACAAAGCAAATGAACATTTTAAACACAAGAGTATTATTTCAATTTCTAATGAGTTTCGATCTAAAGGACATAAGAATTAGCATAATAAGATTGAGTATTTATTGTGTTGAAAGTATCAATGTTTCTCTTATGTGTCAATTTTAGACCTCAACTTGTTTCTTTTTGTACTACACGCTACCATAAATCCACAGTGAACAAATAACAAATGTACTTTGACATTATTGCCATCGATTAAAAGTAAATTAATGTCATACAGGAGGGCTAACATCCAATTACATATCGTGTGAGACAAACAAGGTTTTAAACTGCTTTAAGTATTTTTTTTTCATATCAATAAAATTTCCATGGGGTATTTTTTGTGTTTTTGAAAGAGGGTAGAGTAAGGACTCTAACCTTTACTCTAATTCCCTATAATTAAGACCATACCATGGAAAAGGAACTTTTTCCCAATTTCTCTTTTTCAAGTCATGTTTTCAGTTCCAACTATAGCTCACTTTCTGGTATGCCTCGTAGTTATAATTCTCATCCCATGTGTAAGAGGGCCACCCCTTCTTCTGCCCTTGTCCTGACCTGCTAGGTCAGCCTGTTCGTTTCCTTCTACACCATCATGTCCTGGAACACACCTCAAAGTAATCTTATTTTGTTCTTCTAGGGCCATTAGGCAATTTAGGTACTTCCAGATTAATTTAGAGCTAAAAGTATTCATACTTAGAGCTTTTATAAATGCCTTACTGACTGAAAGTCTGTAGATCCACACACCTTTATATTATTGTTTATCAACTTCTGGGTACAGAGCTGGAATGAATGTACCTCAGCTTAGAGTGTAGTTAGAACTAACCCGAGGGTTTTTTTTTATGGAGTAATTCATCGCCCCTATTCTTACACCCTGATCCATCTTTGATCCATCAGTGTTACCATATTATGGCCCCTTCCTGACAGTGGGGGTCACCATTCTTCCAAATATCTCTTAATATCAATGACCATTTTACATGACTGAATATAAACCTAATAATTGGTGTGCTGGTTAATTTACGCTAGGTAAATGAGATGGTTGTAACAGTATGTGACAATATGAGAGGAAAAGTTAACTTTGACAGACCAACTTTTTTTTATCAAGTTATTCTTGATTATACATATACTCAAAATGAAAAATTTGTGTCACAGATGGGTTCGAACCCATGACTTTTGACTAAATATGCTACTACTCTACCACTTGAGCTATTGTGACTTCGATCGCCCATGCTACAAACTTCTCATTTTGACACCCCGTTTATTATCCCTAGGGTTACCGCTCCTAACAGAACTCTCTCCCACTCTTGCAATCTGGGCAAAAACCTCAGGCCAGCAGCTGTTGGCTTAAGTGAACAGTGAGGGGTGTGCCAGTGTACCCTAAGGTGGCATCCCCATCAATCTTTGCTTCTGTGCAATGAAATAACTGAACTATGTAAGCCGGCAAGTGTAACTAAAAGATTGTATCTGAATTTTTGGCATCATGGAACGTAACCCTCCTTATAGAATAGGAAAATAGACTCAACATTCGTGGATTTAACATTCGCGCCAGTTTTCTGGAACTGAACATAATGCAAATGTTAAGGGATAACTGCATATATTTTTTTTACAGATCTATATGTCTCTCATAGCTCATTTTATTTTTTTAGCAATTAAATACTATAAAAATTGGAGAATTTATATGATTTACCCATTATTAGAGATAAGACTGATTCTTACAAAATATAGGACACAAGAGAAATAAATAGAAATGTTAATTACAAGTTAGCTAGAGTTTAACATAAACTGCTTCAAAACATGTCTGGTTCACTCTTTCTAGCAATTTAATAAATCTTAAGCCACAAAACTATGTCAGCAATATTGATTATAAATAAAAACAACATTTTCAAAATGGCAAGTGCAAATGCCGTATACCATGCTTAACTCACCTATTCACTCAGTACAGGTAAGAGCGACCCGCATAATAAAAAACAAAATTTTGATTAAAGAACAGTTTATAATATCATAATAATCAGAGTATGGTAAATAATAATCCATGGACATTGGTGTTAATTAATTAATTTTTTTTAAAAATTAAAATGAATGCATTCCAAGCTAATTCCAATAGCCCCCTTCAGCTGACAATGTTTTGGCTTACAGTTAGTGTAAGAAGGAGTTATTGGAATTAGCCTGAAATGTGTTCATTTTAATAAAGAGAAAAAATAGTGGAGTTTTTCAATAAAGTAATACCAACATCCTTGTATGAAGCGGAATCAATAAAGAAAAGAAACTTAGAATTAAGTAAACACTTTAGTAAAATTTATCGATGTTTGTAAAATTCTGTGAAAATACTTACAGTTCAAGACTGTGAATGTTGGAATTTGGGCATGTTGTTTCCACTTTAATGTGACAATGTTTATGGCACTTGAGTTGGCAGTCTCTGCATTCATAACCCTGCTTACCAAGCCGCCTTGGAAGCCCTTTTTTACAAACTTGGCACATTGTGCCGCTATAATTTAACATAATTAATCACAAAGAAGAAAATGTTAAAAATGTCATGAAAACTTACCCTGACAAATGCTTGGCGATAAATGTATGGTCATTAAATATATGTAGTTTTGTACCTTTCTTCTTCCATTTACTCCTCTGAGCAATCGATAACGGCACCAAGTAATACCTTAAACAAAGCAATATTTAGTCACTGATCGTGTTGACAATCACAATAATTTGTAATAATACTTGTATATATCGTTTTCGACTGTTTCAAGTACAAGCGTAGATGCCTCGTTTACGTAAGTTCGACTTGATGCTCCGCTGATCCCTGAAACTTCACTGAGACTGGACCTTTCGGAACCTTCCCTCAGACCAGGAACTGACAAATATGAAACTGGCAAAAAATAGTTTTGTTATCAGCTGCTTTGCTCAGATAAGGAAAATTTCAAGTGATCACAATATTACCACAACTTACCAAAATATTAGGTTAAAATCAAGCCATTCCAATGTGAATTTAGAAAGAACATAGAAAAGATGATTAGAATAAAACAATTAGAAATGAGATACAAGGAATGTTAGCAACACTGGAAAACTTTTGATTTTTCATAATTGTTTTCTTAAATGATATTAAATAATCAAAATTTAACTGTAAATATTCATGACTTGTTTTGCTTCATATTATCATTGCTGAGTCAACTTTATTGAACAAATTTTTGTTTTCAACAGCTTGACTGTGTTTACTTTAAATATAATTTAATCATTATTTTGCCAACTTCAACTGAAGGTAATGCCAAATGTTCTAAAAATAATGCAAATGCTACATATAATCAAGTAGAAATGATTTTGAATCAATTAGACTGGCATATATAATAATTAGTAAATTAGTTGGTGTAATGACAAATTAAAATATATTATATTGTTAATATGTGAAAATTTCAAAATTAAAAAAAAAAGTTTTTTAATTTAAACAGTGGGGGCACTTGTCAGTTAAAAAAACATTTACACCCCACAAACATGAGTTATACAAATGCAAATGAACACTCAGACAACACAAACAGTACAAATAGAAAAACCTGAAAGTGATAAGCGCATTTGAACAAAACATTTTTATTTTAAATTTCATATCACATATAGCTAAAGCTTGTAACTCTAAAGACAAACATAGGGAAGAAAAGTCATCCACCAAATTTACAATGAAATACACCTGAATCACCTCATTTTACATAAAAGAATAAATGAAATATTTCTATATGAAAGTGCATTTAGGAAAAAAATCCAATATCAACAAGTGTCTTGTAAATGAGTGTGTCAACATATTTATTATAGTTAGTGAATAATAATTGTTGGCTCAAATATTTTTATAAAATACTTCCTACATATTGTTGGGAGAGGTGATATTGTATCTTTAGATTGGTGAAGCTCCTTTTCCTGTTGATCTATCAAACAATTGTTATCTAAGTAAAACAATTCAAAATCTTTAGTAAGAAACACAATGTTAGTTAATGAAAAGCACCTGTCGAATGGGCTGATGGGTCACGTCCCCTGTCAGCAGAGATTGACCTCGCCGCCTGGTCATAGTCGCCGTCATCACCTCCTGGACCTGCTGAACGTGATCTTGCTTTTGATCTGTTCAATCGCCTCCTGAGAGTACCGAAAAAATCCCTCTTTTTTTTCCGACTTCTTCCTCGGTCTAACAAAAAAGGTTTTAAAAGGAATTTTTAATTATATCGGAAAAATAATAAAATTAGGTGTGTCACTACCAGTTCCATTTAGTTCTTGGTTTGTGGCTGTGTTCTCAGCAACTCCTCCTGGAGATGGGGCATTCATTCCCTGCTGTAATATTGAAAAATGTAAGAACATATTGTTTTAATATTTTGTTTTAATACAACTTTTAATTTCAAATCTTTTTTTTTTTTTTTTTTTTTTTACATTTGTACAAAAGGAATTAAAAATAACTGAAGTTTTACTAAATCTATAGCTAATCTATTTTAAATTTTATAAATAGAAACATATACTTCTGAAATGCTCCTAAGAAAAAGACATTAATAAGCAAAAATAGACAGAAAAAAATTGCAAATAAACGTAATAGACTGTACACGACAAAGCCTGTTAGAGAAAGAACAGAATGCTTTAAGCCAGAAAAGTTTAAATATATACTTTTATATATTGTTTGTAAAAAATAAAATAAATAAATCATTGCAATTTTTAGAGCGTGATACAGATATATTTTATAACTATGATTTAGTCAAAATCTCAGAACTTCACAAACAAAATCACAAAACGGTTGTCCCAATCATAAAAAGGCCCAGTTTTAAATTAAATTTGTGTACATAACCCAGTTAATAATTTAAAAAATATATACATAAAGCTCACCAATAACAAAAGATAAATAAATGTTAGTAGTAAATATAATACAGAATTGCCAAATGAATTTAATTTGGTAAGTTAATATTAATAATTGTTGATTGAAATGTGATTTTCCCCCTCTCCAGATAAATGCGATGCTGAAGAATATTTTTGTGTCTTAATATAAAATAACAATAATAATAACAATAAACCAACTAGAAATAATAAATATACATATTAATCATTTCAATTACATGTTATTAGAAAATTATGTTACATAAAATACAATTGAAAACGTTCTAAACTCATTAAACATGCATAGCCTTCTTACTCACCCAAAAGGAGACACCAAAAAAGCAACACTGACCCCAATAATTTAAAGCAAGGTATACTAATTAAAAGAAAAAATAATAAATGAACCAATCTAAATTTTACTAGATGCAAACTAAGCAGCCTGCAGATTTGGCATAAAAATATTTACAAAAACGTATACTTTTATCAAAATAATCTGAGGAAAAAACTTATTTGTTTATAATATGAGGGATCATAGATTTCAATAAAACATTTTTGGTGATACTAGGTTGAAAAATATTACACACTTGTCTGAACATTTTTGCCAAAGGCCAAGAAAAAATATTTTATTCATTTAGTTGCTTTCAGTAAAGTAGGCCCAAACCGTTTTATTGAAAAAAACATTTCAGATTTGTTTTAAGAACCCTTGAAAGTCATCCATTAAATACCAATTTTTATACCAAACAAAAAATAAACATTAGAACAGCCAACGGCAATTGTTTTAAATCTGTTGTCTGTTGTTCAACTTAAAAATTTATAACTCCTCTGGATCATATACAATGGTCATGGCGTTACTATTGTAGGAAAACTGAATATTTCTTATTTTAACCTTAATCAGCAACTTTTGGATTAATATTATTATATGTGAGAAACATTAGGATGAAATCAACGAAAACTCCCCAAATGTTTTTTTTTTACAGATCCAATTCTCAACTATTTATGGAGGCCAGGTTTGGGCCACTACATGCAGTTTGTAGGGGGTTCTAAATTCCTGCAATTATCATAATCTTTTAGATTTTTGAAAAAAAAAATTTTTTTTCCAAAAATATGTATTCAGGAGTATTTTGGGGTACACAAAAACAACCCAAAAAATGTGATACATATTTTTCTTGTTTCCTATTTTGCTGAGTTCAATCACAAAATAATTATGTATCGTATGTTAATACATACAAACTTGCTTGCTGGCCAATTACAAACTTTAAAAAATGTATTTTTTCTCTCAAATTCCATATGTCTGAGGTTTTTTACAAAAATCTTGAAAAATTGTGATAAATTATTTGTAACAATGATCTACAAGAGATTTTTTAGGGGGTTTAGAACCTATAAATTATACGTAATGGCAATAACCTGGCTTCCATAAATAAACTAGAATTTGGTATATAATATAAAATGTAAACTGTGTTCATGAAAAAAGAAAACGATAAATTCTCTTTTTGAACGGTTGTATTAATGTTGAGTTTGGACAAAATCCAGAGGATTTGTGAATTTTGAAGTCCAACACAGACTTCAGTGAGAAAAAAATTGACCCTGACTAATCCAGCCCAAAATATCTACATGTTTGTTTCCTATAAAAATTTGTATTTAAGAGCTTTAAAAGGGTTTAAAGGGTTCTTAAAATGAATCCGATCGTTTTTTGTTTTTTTCCAATAAAAGTTTTTTGAGCTACTTTACTGGAAGCTACTCTTGTTTTGTAACTTTTTAAATATCTAATTGCATTTAAAGTGGCCGTGCATATTATTTTGTTATCCTATGTAAAAAACTGATTTATAATCTTGTTTGTTGTAATGCTTGGGCCTTGTCAAATATTTTTTGAACTAGTATAACTAAACAAGTTTTTTTTTTAAATCAGTGATCCCTTGTATATATAAAAGAATATACAATTTTTTAATAACAATTAAAACATAATTTAATTGATTCATTAGCTAAAATTAAAGTGACAAAAAAGAAAAAAAAATGCATACATTTTAAAACGCACGGAAAGAAAATCAGGTGCCACATGCCCCCTGTGCCCACAAGCCAGTTTGAAGCTATAATTAAAATGAAAAATTATTGAACGTAACATTAAATGAAAGAAAGGCAAAAGAAGTGTGGAGCGTTTCATCTCTAAATACGTAATTTTTGAGAAAACACAACAGTGATGTCACCTTTGATTCAGACACTTCATGCCACATCCCAGTTTCCGATAACTCCACCTAATAACATGTACTAATTAGTAATTTATTTGTGCATAGAATTTCTTTTTAACTGCCTAGATTTGTTTTTGAAGTGTTTCTATTCCATTAAAATTGTGAGGAAATTTTACAAGTTAAATTGAAGGGATTGAAGGTATGGTGTAGATGTAGTTAAAGTTCAAAACACTAATTGATATGCAACAACTTTTTTACCCAATGAAAAAATAAAAAGCAGATTTTATATTATTATAAATAAAATATTTAAATTTTTTTGCAAACTAAGGCGGGCTACATGATAAATTTGATTGCACAATATGAACAATATTTCTGACCATTTAGGGTTAGTATTGAAATGTGCCAATGACTGAACAAAAGTTTGAGTGAGTTTAATTTTTATTGTACCGTATTTTTTCATTGCACCATGTTGGGTTAATATTGTGCAATATTTTTTTAGCCTATGTCCAGTATTCGTATAAATTGGGACCAAGATGTCATTCAATAATATTGCACAATAAACATATTGTGCAATGTTATTGTAGTGCCACCTAAGCTTACTTTTCAGGCTATATGTAACGATTAAAAAGTTAATTAGTAAATAAATTGAAATAAATTAATAAACACTAGAGTATTATTAACTTAAATAAAATATTGACACAACAGAAGTGAAAATAATGTGAACTGGTCTTTTTAAACTAGAGTACTTCAACTACGAGGTTATATGAACCCTAGGGGTGCCAGTGTTTTTGAAAAAAGTCCATATGTAAGTATGTCAGATTCGACTGCAGGGCTGCTGGATTTGAACCCAGGACCTTTCCCATACAGTGATGAGGGCTGTGTCAATGCCCCCGATGCCCCTATCTTGTAATATTTTGGTGAAAAATAAAAAGGATTTGGTATAATTTTTTTAGGAAATGACATTAATTTCACATAATACAACAAATAATAACTTTTTTAAAAATGAAAGATAATTAACATGGATTGCTTTTATTATGGTTTAGTTTAACAGACAGTTTTCAAACTAATGATTTTGTTTCATATGAAATCTGCTTTTTATCAAGTAAACTATTATTTCACCCAAATAACCCTAAGCACCAACATGAAACCAATTCCCAGAAAAAAAATAACAATAAAATTAAATAATCAACAGATTGAATAAAAAAAATAAATTACCTTCAGCGTTTGTTGTTGATCAGATGGTGGTGACTAAATGTATGCCAAAAACAAGAAAAAAACAAAAACAAAACAAGTCAAGTTAAACTTTTTAAAAAAACAATCATGCAAACTAATGTTTTTAATTTTTAATGATTAAATTCAGTTTTGAAAAAGAAATCTAAACTGTTCCCCTCACCCTTTGCACACTATGTATTATAAGCGTGCTTTTATTTGGCTGTAAGCCTCGATTCATCTCAATTTCCCTAAGAGCGGAATCGGTAATTCCATCGCCTCCATTAGCTAATTGGTCTAAAAATATCACACTTGAGTAGGTAATTTTTAACGGTAATCATCACAATTAAGTATGTCGCTTTTCAAGTTTGGTTTTCAAGAACAAAATCAATTACTTGCCATTGACAATTGTTGTTCTGGTTGTCATTAACATCTGACCGGAAGGAGACACAGATCTTAATGTCTCTTTCACCTTGAATGGTTTGTCCCCAGTAACAGGCAAATCAGCTCCTTCTATCATCAAGAACTAACAAAAGAAATACAAAGTTGTTTTATATAAGGTCGACGAAGAATGTTAAGTTTGGCAAAACATAATTGCAATGTTCTCACCTCAACAGTTAATGTTCCTGAGACAGGGGAATCATGTACAGGTGTAGACTGCAGGGATATAATTTGCCTCTGGCTAGGAGTTGTTGTAAGTTCGTCCATTGAAACGATACCCAAACCCATGAATTTATTTCCATCTGTTGTCTTGTCATAAACTTCAAGTAGGATTTCAGACGTCATGTTGTTAACATCACTGGAAATAAAAGATGAAAAACATCGTGATTTTTGTGTTGTTAGTTGATTTGGGTATTTTGTACAAATTTATTTACAAGAGAAAATGCTCTTCCCAGACAGGGTTAGTTGTCCCTTTCTTGGATGTAGTTTGGTTTTTCTGTGGAGGGTCATCAACTTCCACAACACAGAAAGGCTCAGAACAACCTGTTTTAAAACAAAATGCTATTTTCAAAAATAATTCTATAAAAACATCATAATATGTAAAACCATACTACATCATATTGACATAAGTATTTTATAAAAAGCGTAATTTGCTAAATAATAATTGAAATATCTAACCACCGAGGTCCAGCCCTCTGATACAACAGTGATATTAAAAACATGATTAAAGGGAAATGGTCGTGTCAGTGGGCTGGATGGGTAGAGAAGCTCTCACATGCCAAGAGCTTGGTCGACAGTCGGTCTTTGGAAGATCAAAGAAGAGACACCCGGCGGTGAATAGGCCATGGGAAGTTGGCATTCCAGACACTTACTTTTGAGCCAAAGCTCATGTACGTGTTTCCCAAGTAGAGAAAAGTTAATTAAGTCCACTTAATTGAAGGCTGTGACATGTAAGAATGCCACCCGATTTGAAAATTGTGCTTGAGCAGGGCAGCAAGTATTTTTGGAGATAAAAAGGGCTGTTTTATTGTATGTAGTACTGATAGATAGTTGTTTTGTGTTGTTGAGATGGGAAGTTAGTGCCCGAGTGGATCGAGGTCACGATAGCTCAAGTGGTAGAGTAACAGCGTATCTAGCCAAAGATCGTGGGTTCGAATCCCGCTTGTGCCATTGACTTTTTTATCTCAACTAAAATCCTTAATTAATTGTAAGATATTAATTGGTCAAGCGGACCACAAAACTAGTGAACTTATGACTATTGTACATGCTTAAAAAACTCCCTCATCAAATGATCTGTAGTATTTGATTAATCCATGTTTAAACTTTTATTGTACATATGTTGAAGTTGTTCTGAATAACGCTTAGATAGAATGTTCTCTAAAACAAATAGAAGTTCACAAAAAACTTCACAATTTTACAAAATTTGTTTTGTAAAATTTCAAACTCAGCTAATTTTCTGTACCAATGTCTCAGGTTTGCACCTGCATTAAATATGTATATACGTATATTTTTTATGAAATGCTCGTCACTTGGAAATTGAAAGGGCAACCAGTATTATGCCAGATAAAATTCTGTACATGCCAATTTCAAAACAGTTTGCCAGCTTGTGTATGTGGTTATCAATACTCAACTGTTACCAACTTGTTTAATGTCATATCCATTAAAGTGATGCAGGCAAAATGGGGGAAAAGATTAATGGAACTAATCCATTAGCGATATAAGAGTGAAATAAACATTCAGACAATTTGACAATGTTCTTTTTTATCACGCTTTAAAAAAGAAAAAAAAAAAATTTCAAAGAAACCCAGTATGAAAATAGTAATTAAAAGTAGTATAATTGTTTGATTATCAGCAAAATATGTTTCTTTTACCTGTTGATTGTACTTAATAACCTCTTTATTTAATTTAATGAGATTTAAGTAATATTGACTCATATAATTATAGAAAAATACCTTAATACTACTTAAAAGTGAAATATTGTAGATAAGAGTAATTGATCAGAAATATTTTTACCTTGAGAGGCGCCAAGACCTTGAGCTTTAATAACTTTGATTAAGAGTCTTTTGCTTGAAGTCTTATTAGGTCCACCAGGAATCTAAAATAGAAATTTACCATTCAATAGGTGTATTTGATTTAAAATACTATAATATGCAAAGCTTAATACAAACAAGGCTATCATAATGAACTGGAAGAAGGGGCCCTTGGCTCGCAACATATCTTGACAGCCTCGGGCAATTTGGGTACTGGCTCAAGTTGCAATGAACATTTGAACTTCTCAACGCTGCAGTAACAATTTCACTAATAACATCTTGCAGTTGATTCTCATCCAAATTGTTTTTGATTGACCCAACCTGAGCGAGGGAGACTTTAACCTGCCAAAAAACAAATCCTTGGAGCTTATTACCTGTTTGTTCTTAAAAACTAACATTAAAAGAATTAAGGCATAAATTTATTTATATATTTACATATATTATTTACTGAACAGAATCACTTACTTCAGGCCAGCCATCACATTTAATGTCAGCAAGGAGTTTCTCAGTTATTGCAACAATGTTGAGCCTTGCTCTGAACCTATTTACATTCAATCTGTAATGAGAAACTTCAACTTTTTCCCCTTTTTGTCTGAATACTTTGAGCTGTAAGGCAGGTGTGGTTTCACAGTCACATGTTATTGTCTACAACATAATAACAAAAACTGTATTTTAAAGAAAAGAAAGAAGAAAGAATAAAAAAAAAGAAGAAAAACTGTAAATTAAATTTGTAATATTTTCAATAGAAAATTTTGACCAAAAAAACAATCTGTAGCTTGATATAAGTAGTCATTGAGGATTACAAAAGAGTGTTTTACTATGTGTAGGTTTATCCCATTTTTGAGTATTTTCATTTTCTTTGTTTTGTATGTTGTAGAATAGATGGGTTTGAATCCTTGGAGTTTTTTTGTAAGAAGACAATCATCAATTTTGGTAGAAGTATAGTTATGCTTATGGGGTAATGGGGTAATTCTAATAGTTCCTTATTTCTGTCATTAGTGAAGTAATTCTAGTGTTTTATATATATATATATATATATATATATATATATATATATTTTTTTTTTTTTTTTTTTTNTTTTTTAAAGAATATGTTGTACTTTTTTGGCAGAATGTGACTTCGTTTTAATTACAGACCTGGATAATTAAACATGATCCACAGTTTCATTTCCTTGCAAACCTTTAGATACAACAACAAAATAATTGATAAGAATAGTTCTATTCACAAATTCACGAGGTTTAAGAAATTTGAAATAAACATAAAGACGAGTGTTCATTTTTTCTTTTGAAATTTGAGTGAAATTATTGTAGAGCTAGAGTATTGTATTGTTGAGCTAATTTAGTAGACACCATCATTTATATATTTTAAAAAAAATGTAATCGCGTCTACCAAATTAGCTCTACAATACAATACTCTAGCTCTACAATACTATATACACTCAAATTTCAAAAGAAAAATGAACACTCGTCTTTATTGTTTATTTCAAATTTCTACCAAATTAGGTAGGCCAGTTTTTTTATATGATGCTGAACATAATTTTTTTAGGGGAGGAGAAGGTTCAGAAAAGGTTCGAGGGGTAAATAGTGGGAACTGAACCCAAGTCCGTTGGGCCAACAAGCTGAGAGCCTGATGCCTCAACCACTTGGTTACTGCAGTCCCCCATAAAATAAGTTACATTTTTACAAATCCACCTAAATTTAATTATACAATTATGACCAATATAAATTTTGGATCTTATTAAGAGCAAACTGTTCTCTACATGTAAGATATAAATACATATTGTAAATTTATCAATGATTAGAAATTTTAATGTATTGTGGGTATTTACGACAGTTAATTCACCACTTAGAAAATTTAAATGTAAGGCTTAGTGACCACATGCAATTTTCAGTTGTGCCAGAATTTGGTTGCAAGATTGACTGCCATGGGTTCTTATGGGAGTGCGCTCACATGCAACTCCAAATCTCAGGTAAATAAACAGTTTAAATTTTGTCTTGGACTATTTAGTTGCTTCAAGTTGGACAATTAGCTTAAGATTATTGCCCCTGGAAGGTCATGTGCTCACAAATTTGCATTTAAACAGTTACAAAATTTCTTATTTTAAAGCTGGAAATTTGACATGTAAGGTTAGAACAATATAATTTTCATTACAAAAACAGACCCATTTTTTATTCATTATTTTCAAACAAATTAATTAATAGATAATCTTAATGATTAAATTAGTAATATCTCATTTTGAAAGAAATCAAAAAATAAAACCTTTCAACCTTCAAAATTAATCGTGTAAAATGAGATTGAATTTTTCGGATTTGATAATATGAAGCCAACAGTTTTTATAGAATAGGAAATTATTATTCCGGGTTGATGGATATTCTCCACCTTGTGTCTAGATGAACAATGTGAGGGCAAAGTAACTCTAAAAGTTCATCAAACATTTTCAGATTCACTGATAATAATTTTAAAAAATTCATGGGGTGCCTTTTCAAATTACCTAAAATTTATGAGACTGTCCTTTTTCCATGTGCTGTGCCATCATAGGATGAAGTGAAAAATATATTTTTTTAAAATTATTCTTTGTCCAGAACTCTAGAGCACAAAACACAGCTTACTCAAACAACGGGTTAAAAAAGACGACCAAACTGTTGTACAACTGAGAATTGTGAGTATTTTTAACATTTTTGGTGTTATATAAAACTAGGAATTTATAATTATTGCTGGATAAAATTGTTTGAAAGACGGAATGATGCATTACGTTTGAAGGATAAAAGGCTTTTTCAAGAGGGCGTCTTAAGGCACACATCTGTTTCATGACCTAATTGAGCAACAGTTTCAGACAAAGATGGCCATTGTACTCCTTCATGAACCACAGTAGATTTGTTTAATTAGTACCTCCACAAATTAACTAGTCAACTAGGCGTGCTTATTCTAAATTTATATAAACTCAGATTGCTGACTCATTCCAACTCAATGAACCCATGCATTCTCTCTGTATAAATTTGGAAAAGGGCCAGGGATGAAGCTAGACCTGCTGAAGATCTTACTAGTTGAGTATAACATCACAACAAATGCCAGTGAAACGCCTATGAACAAAAATCAATATTAACAGGCCCTACTAAATGAGCCTATGTCATGGGGGAGTAAAAAATCAATAGATGCAAAATGTACAAAAATAAAAATAAAATCACATTCATCATTCAGTGAAAATTGAGTTAAGAAATATTGATTCACTAACTTTATCCTCTAGGGATATAATTTAAATTACTTAAGATGGGTCAGGTCTGAGGTGAGCGTGTTAGGAATCTTGAGGGAGGATGTATTTTGGCAACAGAGCTGGCTTCTTGTCTATCTTTTGGCAATAGAGCGTTTAAGATGCCAGCTAACTCTCCAAGGGTTGAGAGACCACAATTCTCAAGGGGGCAGTCAAGGGCAAAAATTAAACCAGAGCCAAAACAAATAATCTATCAGACTTAACATTTATTTGATCAGTTTTCTTTTGCTATTTATTCTTAAAATGTAACTAATTTATGAAGATATTAAAGTGTAGGCAACAACACAGTCAAGAAACAAAGAATGACTTTCAATTGAATGTATAATTCAATTTGTATACATGACAGAATCTTATTCCTGCTCTGATGCAAAAATTTAAGTTGTCGCTTCTATCTTTGCATCGAGTTTTTGGCAGGAAGCCATATACTTTGGCATAAACATGCACGAACTGGAAATATAAAAGATTTGTATCTAAGACTGAATACATTTTAAATTTATAATCCAATTAGGGCTAAGCCTATAAGTTGTGGTCTAAGAAATGTTATTTAGAATTTTGTTAATCATACAGATACTATTTGTTCCAGTAAAGTCTTAGTTTTTCTAAATTATTTACATTTATTTAGTTTTGTATGTACAAAACCTGCATTATTCTGTTCAATTGCAATACGTTCTTAGTTAAAAATAAATAAATAAAATATATAAGATGTAATTTTGAAGATTAGTTGTTTCCTTTTTAGTTTTTGCTCAATAATTTTTGTTGAGTTTATTTACATAATCAGTTATTAAATTACCAGTTTTTATTTTGCAATGCTTTTTGGGTCATGCTGTGGCCCTTCCTTAGTTCATTAATTTTTTCCCATTTACAAAATAGAAACCTGTAAATTAATGACTGATAACTTCATTAGCACAGCAATAATTATTTACTCATGAAAAAATTGGCCTTTTTATTTTATTTAATTTTTTTAAATTTTATTTTTTTATTTTAAATGCACGACCCAAAAAACATTTACAAAATCAAAACCAGTAATTTAATGGTGGATTACTTCATTAATCCCAACAAATAATTTGTCTGACAGATGAACCCAGGGGTTTTGCAGACCAAAATGATAGGGTAATGACAAAATTACAGGTTCATCACCCCACCCCAGCAGGCTCCATGAGAAATCTCTAAATCTCACATCCAACAATTTAAGATAAATATTGGTTTAGATGGAAATAGAAGTTTATAATTTTATTTATTATATATACCCATGACAGTCTTTTAATCCATAAAAAATAAACTCTTAAAAATAAGGAATGGCAATTCTCCTTGATAAATATAAAGGTTATGTCTTCAATTGACACTTGAATTATTTGGGAGGGTTATAAATGATTTATTTGCTGACAGAAGCAATATTTGATAGAAAGATTTGATATAGATCTACTGGACTGAATGAACTAAAAAAATAGAAAGAAGGAACTGATAGAAAGACAAATGAAATAATTCAAACAAGGCACTGTAGGAAGGAACAGGTTAAATTGTTTTTTTTTTAGAAGACATGATACGGCAAATGCCAATTATAATCAATATTTTGCTATGATTGCAAAAATGCACTTTGTTGAAAATATATACCAAATTCTGTAAAAAAATAAATTATCAATACACATTATTTAAATAGTGAAATAATAATTGTTTAAAGACTTTTAAGAAATTCCAGTTGAATGTGGATAAAATTAATTTACAGGATAAAATGTCAGTAATCTTTGTTCTCAATTTTGATCATGTTGTCATGCTACTAAATGTAAATTTACTCACAACGTCATCATTAGAGGCACATTCGCAGAAAACATTGCTGATATTCGGCGGAGGAGATTCCGGGAGAACCCTCACAAATTCCACACCAACACCATGCTAAAAGGAAAAAGAATCCATATTAATTGTCATGTAAAATGTGAGGCACAATAGAGGGAAGATGCAATCGTGATGGGCTACTTAAAGGCATAGTGTCTAAATTTAAAAGCACTGATTTCACTGCCAATCTCCGTTAAGAAACAAGGCTTAACCAAACTTTTTATTTGGTTTTGGCACTGATTTGTTTCTCTAATAATATTTTTGTTGCTCAAGAGGGAGAGGAAAGTAAATTTGTTTAGCGTTTAGTGTCTGTTATATTTATTAGCACAATGTAATGTGTATTAAACTGTAGTTTCTAAGCTGACAATGTTAAATTCAATATATATCCTTAGAATTATGAAACACATGGAGCTTGATGACCTAATCAACCAATATTTGTTTCACAATATTGGCTGCGTAGTTCATCAAGCTCCACATGTCTTTAATAATAATAATAATAATTTAAAAAATAAAACAAAAAACCACTGAACATTTAAAAAAAGAAGCAAATAAAATGGTACATTCAAGGCAGTACAATAATTTATTGTAAAATATAAATGGTTATGTTGTATGCATATTTACTTTTATAGATACTAAAAAAAGTAGCGCAAATGATTACAAGGTTTTTCAGTTTCATTTTCTCACAAGGAACAATGGTATTGTTTGTTGAACCGATTCTCATGTGACATCCGAATTTAAATACCTAAACGACACAGGTCGTCTTAAATGTTATTTTATTTTGGTTAAATAATCCATGTACCTCTAAATTCTAATAAGTGTAATCTCACTTTTGTATTAAACCTTTGTTATTATTTAAGTTGAATATTAATTGTTTATAGTGTTACAGATAAATAACATGTGTAGTTCATTGACAAACTTTTCTTTTTTTTTAATAATATGTAGTACATTACAACTACCTTAAAGTAGGTAATAAGTAACTGTGAGCAAGGTAATTGAAACAAAACAAAATTAAAACCAAGAGTGGAGAAAACACCCATTGGTATTACTCCAATGTTACAATAATATTGTTTGTTCAATTGATACGTGTGTCATTATCACTTTCACTATCATCATCATCACTTCCTAGGAGATCTCGCGGCCATTGTCTCTTCAATTGGCGGGGAGGGTTTGAGGGGATTCGTCGGGATGCGAGGTTTCTGATGTGTTGGTTTACGTTAGTTGGGAGGTTTTTATGAAATTTACGGTAACGGAAACGTATTTCATCTTGTACGAAAGGAATATGTAAATCTGTATGTGTAGTTTGGTTCGGTACATAAAATGGAGCATCTAGTATTTTTCGTAGTATTATAGACTGGGCAGTTTGAATGCGGTGGATATTGGAATGTTTGGCTGAACCCCACACTTCCAGTTCTTAAATCCAAAACGGCTTAACTATGGTGCTGTAAAGCAGCCTTTTATTTTTGAGAGGTAAATTAGAGCGTTTGTCAAGAAGTGCAAGAACTCTAAATCGTGTCATAACCTCCTGACGTTTCAGTCTTGTGTGAGGATTCCACGTCAGGCGTTTGTCGATGTACAATCCGAGATACCGCACCTTGTGCGCAGTTGGGAGGGGAATATTGTTTAAGAAAACAGGGGAGGAGATCTTTTTACGAAGAATGAAGGTAATGTGGTGGATTTGTCTGTGTTAAATTTTATCCTTTTCTTTTTCACCAAGACTCTAGTAGTATGAGGTGTTATTGGAGGTTTCGAGTGGAAATGACAAGGTCGGAGTTGCTAGAGAGAATTGCCGTATCGTCTGCAAATGTTAATGTGGTGGTTTCGGGATGAGATGGCATGTCAGCTGTGAAAACCTGGTACAGTGTAGCGGCCAGAACGCTACCCTGAGGAACACCAGCACGGATAGGAAAATATGAAGAGAGGGAATGACCTTCGATGACTTGGAAGAATCGGTCAGTGAGATAACTGTGCAGTACGAGATAGTAGGTGGATGGAAGGATGCCCTCCCTTGAGCATGAACAGCAGGCCCGGGTGCCAAACTCGATCAAAAGCTTGGCTTACGTCAAGAAAGGCTCCGGAACAGTACTGCCCCGTCTCAAGGAAGGATGAAATAATGTCTACCACGCGGTGACACTGCTGGACAGTTGAGTGGCGGTTGCGAAAACCAAATTGATGGTCTGGGATTATGTTTTGAGAATTTAGAATCGGAAGAATTCTTTTCAGTAGGAGTTTTTCTAAAATTTTACCCAAAGTAGGTAGTAGACTTATTGGCCTGTATGAAGTAGTACAATGTGTTGGCTTTTTTGGCTTAGGGAACATTCGAATATACGAGTGCTTCCAAGCTATAGGGAAGTAGGTTGTACAAAGAACATAATTAAATAGGTATGTAATGAATATGATGGCCTTCTTGGGAAGGTGTTGGAGAATGTTTGGGGTACTAAGATCAAAACCTGGAGCTTTCTTGGATTTTAGGTGTTGTATGGTAGAATGAACGTCAGAAAGTGAAAAAGCTTTTGGAGGGAGGGATAATGGAATTGGTGAATGTAAATATTCATTGATAAGTTGTGAATAAGTATGGTCTATTATGTTGACATGTGGGGTGAACACTGTGTTCAGGTAAGAGGCAAAAGCATTCGCTTTTTCCTCATCTGACTTGGCCCAACTGCCGTCTACTTGGCGAAGCGGGGTAGATATTTTGTGGTAAGATAGAAGATTTTTAGCTGCCGTCCAGAGAGATTTGTTTTCTGTTGTTAGTGATAGAGTAAATCGTCTGAATCGGTCGGAGCGATATGCTTGCAATTCCGTTTTCGTTTATCTGAAGGGTAACGTGTTCTTTGCCATTCTTTACGAGCTTGTCTTTTTGATCGTATAAGGTAGCGAATATAAAAGCGGTACGTTAATGTGCTGAGAATATGTGTTTTGTGGATGTGTGAGAATTGTTGAATCACTGATCGATTCAGTTATTGATAATGTGAATTTTTGTGAATAATGTGAATTTAATTTGACAAACAAAAACAAAAATTAGCAACCTACAATAGCACAAAAACTATATTTAGATTTGCAATATCATTTGACTAATTTTAACCTACTTTTAGCGTTATCGAATGTTTAAAATATAAAGGTGAATACATTTTTTTGGCTTATAAACTATCCAACTATAAAGGGAATAACTTCATACAAATTTTAATTAATAACTGATAGTGTTGATATAAATTGTTTAACCATCTTGTTTTCCCTTTTAAGCCCAATAATCCAGTGAAATCAAGCTTATATCAAAATTACAACATTTACGTCCAAAAGGGTCAAGAACAACTCGAGAGCTCGTCAATGGAGACAACTGCCAGTTAATTGGCCTCGTGCGTAAAATGAGGTTGAAAGCTGTTAAACGTTTACAAATCGAATTTCCTGTGAGGAAAAATTCACGCCCCAAATACTCACCGACAGCTCCAGTTTATAATTCAAACGACTAATTACTAAAAGTTTAAACCGAATATGTTGACGACATACGCCTTCGTTGGGTAAATTGGGCTCGGGACGATCTGTTAATGTTTACGCGTGTCCTACAAAACATAAAAAAATTACTTGAACAAAAGGAGAGAGGTCACAACAGAAACGACAACTCTTTAATTCTTTGCCGAGCTTTCGACGAAAGCTATTGTGGTTTTAAATAATTTTTAAATTTTTTATATTATATTGTTTTATTGTTTTTAAATAACTCCACACTGTTCATTGTTTTAAATACTGAGCTTCACCTAATTTTAATTATTCTTATTGTATATGCAGTTTCTTGATCTAGTTAAAGTAAGATAAATAATTGTTTTTTGTAATTTTGTGTTTTTAAATGATATAACATGTTTCTAACTGCGATATTTACTAAAGTAAATAGGCCCTGATGATGACGATATAATCGTTGAAAGCTCGGCAAAGACTTAAAGAGTTGTCGTTTCTGTTGTGACCTCACTGAAGATCCTTTTGTTCAAGTTGTTCAACAAGTAGGTCGATACATCATCTCATCTATAAAAAAAAATTACATTTGCTAACGTTTGAAGTTTGGTCAATGTTAATACCAAACAGAGTAAGTAAAAACCACTATTTGAAAACAGGGCCAAGGTGTGCGTTCTTTTCCGACATAACCCTGAAATTTCAAGAACGAAATCTGTGATGTCAGCCTTTGGAGAGGCAAGGCTATTTCATAAAAGGTTGACAAAAATTGACTCCTGGCTGAGAGGAAAATTCCAAAATGATTAAACTGCATTATTATGTACAGGTATAAGAATTAAAAAAAACATAAAAATATATGTGAGAATATACTACTTAAAATGATAGATAATAAGTCCGTATTAAAAACAGCTCCTTCTATTTTCAATTATCTTTAAAACAATAAAACGACAAAGCTTAGAAATTTGATGGTCAATATATGACCTAAATAAAGTTTATCTTGTACTTCTAGTGTAAATAGTAAACAGAAAGGCTTTCAGAAATATATGCGTATCTTCGGAGTACATATTGTTTACTTTAGTGTATTAGTATATTAGAATAATTAAATTAACAGTATAAATTATTATCATTAGTTGAAAAAAACAAAAACTTCCAGTCTTGGTACTTGTGAATAAGCAAGTTCCACATGATGTTGCTCAGCACATGCTGCTGTGATTCTGTTTTTAGTTAAAACCTTCTCAAGCAATGTATTACGGTTAAGGTCACTTTATGGTTAAAATATTATATAAAAAATAAAAATAAAAATTTAAAACATTAATTATACATCTAACATTAACAAATTTTTCCTAATTGTTGGTCGTACAGCCACTTTTTATATTTAATTATTTATTAGGCAGAAATAGCCACAGAATAATTATTTACACAACCCACACGTCTAACTTGTCTCTTTCGCTCTCTCTCTTCCCTCTCACTTTCATTCCCTCCCTCTCGCTCTCTCTCTGTCTGCCCGTCTGTCTCACTCACTCACTCTCTCTCTCTCTCTCTCTCTCTCTCTCTCTCTCTCTCTCTCTCTNCACACACACACACACACACACACACACACACACACACACACACACACACAC